AAAAGCCGGGTTTCATTTTCAAAGTAATATTTTCGGTTGTTTTTAGGTAACATATGGAAAAAAATACAAATATATGCGATTATTGTGTATTATTCATCAATTGAAGAAATAATTTTATCTGGGCCTGTCAAAACTTTTTTTTAGGTTCCATTTGGGCGATTAACGTGTTAAAACACTCCAAATTGCAGCACCCTGTACATGTATCCACTGCACACGCTCACAGCTGTCCCAGTCAGTTGTTTTTGTTTACATTATGACCTCGTAAATTAGCAGCCTTAGGAGCGTTCTTTGTTTATCCATTTATTTTTGAGATCAGTGGTTTTATGTCGAAAAGTGGGAAATAATAAAGGGAAAGCTTTTATTGTGATTCTGTGAGGTACTATTATTACAGGAATTCAATGGCATCTGCCTTCAAGTCCAAGCGGTCCAAGTATAACACAAACTGCTGTGTATATCAATGCCATTCCCGGAAAGGTGCAGATAAAACTATTCATTTTCATTATTTTCCTAAGAAAAATAGTAATCTTGCTTTCTACGCCAACCTGCAGGTAGGATAAAACTGTGGCCAAACTCAAAAACAGACCTCCATTTTCCATGTTTCGTGTTGTATGGTCTGTATGGATACGAAATGCACAAAAGAAAGTCACAACGTTCAAAATTTAAAAAATATAGGAAAAAACCACCGAAAAAACTACGAGAACAACGAGAAAATTAGCGAAAGAAATATTACTCGTTTTCCGCCATATTTGTTTACAAACGCCAGCGCCCCCATCGGTAGTCGAAATCGCCAATAACTAAAATTCTGCTTCCGGAATGTCGCTTCACGTGAACCGGCAAAAATAATTTCTTGAACGGAAAGCGATATTCCGCACCCGCAACGCGGTAAAATAGCTATTTACCTAACAAGTGTGGAAAAGTATTTTCCACAAGTGTTATAGGTACCTACAACCTACAATATTTTTCCTACAGGCATAAAAATGTAGATTTTTTTTTTTTTTCTTCAAATAACTATTTCCGCACTGATAGCCGTGCGGAAAAACTTTTTCAGTTTTTCCGCACTGGTATGCGTGCGGTGAAAGTTTTCCGCACCGTTCGGGAAAACTCATTTTCCGCACGGATATCAGTGCGGAAAATTGATTTTTCCGCACGGCTGTAGGAAAAATTTATTTGAAAGCATTGAGAATTTTTTTGTTGTCATTGTCATTTTGACTTTTATCTGCAATAAAAAAACAAGATTTGCTTGGATCGGATCAGAACGATCTACCAGATACAAATGAAAGCCCCTATGTTACATTTGCTCTAGTGCCATTTGTCGCTTCCTTCCGCCATTTCGCAATCGGCTTGTCCCGAACCAAGCCGAACTCGGCGCAATCGCAGTGCTCACCAAGCCGAGACGAACACATTTCACAAAACCCAGCATTGCCAGATCTATTTGTTTTGAAGTAGATCTTGTCTTGGGCTTTCCGCTTCGGTTACAGGATAAGAAAAAGAGTAGATAAATTTGGAAAAATGCACACAAAAGAGAAGGCACATGCAGCTTTAGTCTTGAGAGTGAGTCAATTATATTATGATAACTTAGGCTCTGAGTTCGGCGCTTTAGACTCTGTAAACTCTGAGCGCGCTCGAAACGATAAGATCCTGTCCGTTTTAGCTCTCAGAGTGTTCTGTTTTGCGTTGGGCTTGTGACCGCGTATGACGTCACGATATCCATGCTCATACCGTTCCGTTCCGTGGAGTGCAAAGCCAAACCCAGCCTTGGAAAAATATTTAAAAAAATCCTTAAGGGCGCGTTAATGGCCGCCATGTTTAAATTTAGTTTTTAATGACGACTGCGCCACTCTACACATACGGTTCAATATTTTATTTTTTGTCCAAAACAAAATCTCTCTATCGGTGAAACACTTAGTGGAAGAGAAAGACAAATATACAATTATGATGCTCCCAATGTAGCTTTTTTTGTCGTGGCGCCATCTACTTGAAATTGCTTGAACTGTTTTCACCTTCAAAATTCGTTTTAAGGTCATCTCAAAAAATCCGCAATAATTTCCAAAATCCTTTGGCATAAACATTATTTGATGAATTATCTACAATCTCTACAATTAGCTTTTTTTAGTTTTTCGTGGTTATCATTATCAATAAAATATGTTTATTTTCAACCACATATGTAATGTTGACATTGCAGGTTTTTCAAAATCTTGAAAGTGTCACATTTCTGGACTTTGACATTTATCGGGACGGTAATGCATATGCCTGCCTAGGACGGAAAAGCATTTTCCGTCCGGGACGGCAAATGCTTTTCCGTCCCCATTTCCCTGCTCGTTCCAAATTGATAATTTTCATACAGCTCTCACATATAATAATAAAACCACATGTATTACATGGAACTAATTAAATCTATTCACTTATTTACATTAATTGTTAAATTAGCATTGTTGTTTATAATGGAAATCTTGAGACCATCCTGTTGGAATTGTGTTTCGTTTGGAACTATTATCTCTTGCGCTTGCGGATGAGTTTCCGCATGTGATGTACTTGTGGATGCACTGGACAACTGAATACCTTTGGAAGTAGAGGATAGCATCAGAGCAGTCTTACTTTTGTTCTCCAAAGATGCCTCTATGTAGCCTTCAGCAACCGTGCTCGATTTCCACCCTCCCAGTCTTTTGAGTTGCAATAGATCGGCCCCGTTGTCAACCAATAAGGTTGCGGAAGTACGACGAAAAGCATGCCCTGTAAAAGTTTCAATTTTTGGAAGCTTCAAAAAAGCAGCTATTTTATGTGGAAATTTTGAGATTGAATGATAGCCAATTGCTTGGTTATGTAATTTCCCATTTCGCCATTGAACAAATAACCTGTCATTTTTCAAATTTTTCCGCAAAGTGAGGTATTTGTGGAAAATAGCAACCCAATCTGGATCGCTTATGATAAACGATCGACTTGTGTAAGTTTTTTGTGTGTGGAATTTCTATAGCGATCTTTCCTTCCAAAACGTTGACGTGCTCCATTTTCATCTTGACTAGTTCATCGCTCCTACATGCACCCGACACACCAACAATTAGCGCTACCTGAAACCAGATAAAAATAAAATGGGTAACCTAGCTATAGCATACAGAAAATCATTTTGATTTTCGCATTTTTATCTTCTTTGTATATTTTTTGAAAACCTACCTTGATGCTAATGAATTCTTCAGCTGCCTTCGTGAGGAACTCGTTAATGTTTTCTCTGGAAAAAACGCTCCACTTTTTCGGCTGAAAGCCCAGATTTTGCCGCTTCAAAAAAGCTATAAGTTTTGCGTAATTGGAGATATCAACTTTCTCTTTCAATTTAATCATGGTTTTCAACATACTGTAAGTCGACCATAAAGTCGAAGGCTTCTTTTCCTTAGATAATTCGCCAAAATACGCCAACAAAACGGTCTCCGAGGCAGTATTTCTCGTTCCTTTCTGGCTACACCATGCTTCGAATATTTGAAAAGCCTTTTCGTACCGAAATTTGCTTTTTGCTGGAAGCAAACTCTCTCCAATCCTGTCTGCTGCTTCTTTTAATTCAGGTGGGGTACAATCCATCGCTTCATCTTCACTTGCCGAAATCATTTCTTTGGGGAGAACGGGGAGAAATCTAGTGAAAATCTATTATTTCCGCAAAAATACTGAGCGAAAACTACCGTCGTTAAGGCGTTGTTGATCTTATCTATGGTTGTTGATTTTGCGGTTTCCTGTGGTTTCGTCTTTTGTTTTGGCCTTTACAGGGCCTTTGAGATCGTCAAAATTGATGACATTGACAAAAAAAGTGAAATATTTTTTTCTAAGGCCAGTTTTACACTATATGAAAATTTCGTATAACAGAATCTTTAGTTTTTGCATCAGAAAATTAAGGGTTGAAAATAAAAAAGTATACAAACCTCGACGGAAAACTTCATTTCTGTCTCGAGGTTGAGTTTATCTCGACGCTTCGCGTCTCGATAAACTATAATAACCTCTCGACCAGCAATGAAGTATTTTCCGTCTCGGATTGTAATATACTATTTTCACGAATACAAGCTCGATAAACATGCAAATATGCAACCACCAACACTTTAGTTGTTTTGGTGGTTGCGAACATGTTTTTTGAATAAAAAAAAAGGCTGAATATAGAAAAACCAAAATAAGGAATTGTTTTGGACGGTAGCGCGCTCAGACTTGCTAGCGCGCGCTCAGTTTTGCGCGGCGCAAAATGTTTTCCCTGTGGTGTCGGTCGGTACATGAACAAAACATTGTTGCAGTAGTTTTTACGTTTTCCGCGCTGCGCAGAATGCTTGTTGCAAAATGTTCGCGAACGTTTTGCGCTGTTTGTTGCACCTTTAAATTTTTCTTCTGTTTTTTATTATGTACGTTTTTTTTTAATACCCATTTAGAATAACCCCATCCTTATTTATCAATAACGAGTGTTATTCAAGAAGCGACATACGTTTAGTCACTAGAATGACTGGTACTTCTAAATAGGTACTTTAGCCGGTTCCGGAAATGTAAATCCTGGATCGAGTAGCTTAATATCAGCTGATCGCGGTTTAGCTCGTTTCCAGAGTAGGATTATTCAACGTTTCCGAACGATTGGGATCGACGATCGCCGGCACCCGCGTATGTTTTTCGTCAACGATTTGACGAATTGAGGTTTAAAGTTAGGTCTTTACCTTTGACTTTTTAATTTTAAACACACTGCAAACCACCCCAAACACAAAAAATCACAAGAATTCAAACATAAAACTTGACAAAACGGAAACAAAACATTGCAAAACACATAAAATAAACATAACACATAATCATAAAACGCGAGTACTCGACTTCGGATCATTTTACGAACGATGAGATTACTAATCCGATCGAACCGATTAATCGGACCATACTTTCCGAAAGCGGTTACGTTTTTCGTTTGGCATCAAAATCTACTGCCTAATCATTAAGCTGGTCTGGCAACACTGTCGTGACCACTAACCCCTCCATCTATTCTCGGAATCTCCCAGTGGCCAGTGTCCCATCTCGAGCATTTTCTTTCTGTCCATGTCCGTGTCCTGTCTATTTTTGGAATTTTAGAATTATTCTTGTCCATGCTTAAGGACGGCATTGGGTTGTCGGTTGTCCCTTGCTCCTTTAGCAGTGCGTTGATTGTTAACTTCTACTGAAAAAAACCGCAAACCATAATCTATAGCCGACTACAAGAGGACGCCATCGATTTATCTGTTTTTGTTGTGGGTATTGTTTTCATCACACATTTGTCGGGCTTTGCCATTTCCCTCAGAAACAGAAGCATCTTTTCATCAAGGTAAGTAAAGTTTGATTTCAGACTATATGATTGATTTCTCAGCTGCAAATAATTGCAATAAGTTCTATGTTGTAATAATAAACAGATAGAAAAAATACATATAGCTTTCAGAGAAATTCAAATTTCAATCTTAAACTGTAAGATTTTTGGTTAAAAGTTTATTTATTTCTAGGATCAAAGATGAGCAAAAAAACCAGCCCAGTTCCACCTGTCGTACCACCAACACCTATCGATACGCCTATCCCGGCGGCGCCGGTAGTTCCTGCTGAGGAATATGTGGTGGAAAAAATAATTGACAGCCGTGTGAACGAACAGGGCATTAAAGAGTATTTTCTGAAATGGATTGGATACGATGACAAAGACAACACCTGGGAACCAGAGGAAAACTTGGGTAAAGGTCAATCTTTGTTTCCATATGCAAGCAATAAAAGCGATTTATTATCGAGTTTTTATTGAATAACCTTTTTTTTTTATAGATTGTCCAGGCCTAATTGCGGCGTTCGAGGTAGCAAGAAAAAAAGAACTTGAATCTAAGAAAAGGAAACTATCAACTGGACAAGAAAAAGAAAATAAACACATTAAAATTAAAAAACCTGATGAGAAAAAATGTTTGGGATTCAATAGAGGACTGGAACCTGATACTATTATTGGAGCAACTGATAGTCCAGGTATAGTATTTCAATGCAAAATTTGGCTAATATTGAGAGAAATTAAGCACATGTTGAACATATGCACAGATGTGGTGTTGCATGCCTCTTAAAGTTTTAAATTATTCTAGGGCAGCTAATGTTCCTAATGAAATGGCAGGGTACAGACGAGGCGGACCTGGTTCCCGCAAAACAGGCCAACATTAAGTGTCCACAAATTGTCATAAGATTTTACGAGGGACGTCTAAGATGGCACCCACCCGCCCAAGTTTCTGCTGGGGAGAACAAGGAGAATAATTAAAATTCGATTTTCATTACTTTATGTTAGAATTTAAGTTAGATTAATTAATTTCAATTTTTTTTTTTTCGTGAAAGATGTTCATTTTGTGTGTGTAAATATTAGACAAAACATACTTTATGTTTTCTCTTTAGGGCCAAATTATGGACCAACTGGTAGGTGTCTGGTTGTTACCTATCAGGTACTTTCTATTATCTAGAGCATAGAAAGTATCTGCTAGGTAACAACTAGATGTTTACCAGTCAGTCCAGAATTTGTCCCCTATACAAGGTAGGCCACCGAATCATTAGTTTATATGTATTACAATTTAAGTTAGATAAGGTTATTTCTATTTTTTTCTGTGGAGCATGTAAATTTTATATGTGTAAATATTCAACCAAACATACTGCATAGTAGGGTGGCTTACCAAAAATTTTCAAAGTTTGGTCCTTGACCTGTTCCCATTAAACATTTTGGGGATGAATCTCATTACCGCTCAGTGTATAGTGAATAAGTTATGAAGTAAAAAATTGAAAGTTTACTCTAACAAAACTTGACAATTTCTGAGCATTTTTTTATTTTTGGTAGAAAGTTTTGGGTGAGCTACTCTGTATGTTATTTTAGGACACTATGATTTTATTGATTTCAAAGATTTAGTATTATAGCTTTTAGTAATGAATTATTTTAAGGATTTCCATAATATTTTGGCTGATTAAAATTTTCTCAAAAAATGTTTGTCTTAATTTTAGTGACCCGAAATAAAGTTATATGATCGATTTGATATAACTGCTTTTTTCTAGTGATTCTAGGTTCATAGTGTCAACCCTACATGGCCAGTTTTTGAATAATACAGTTTCCTATGTATAATGTAGGTACAGTTTTTGAATATTCTTACAGTTTTGTATATTTTTGTGTGGTTCTCCATTTGTTCGTAAGTCAATCGAGTATACAAGGTATTTTCCTGTTTCTGACTATTCCCTCAACCATTCCATGTTAGTATGAATTTGTTACCGTCCGTTTATGCTTCAAATGAAAAAAAATAAAATGATCCATAATTTCATTATACGAAACCAAAACAATAAAAACTGGTCATATTTGGTTACAAAATTGAGGGAAATTAATAATGATCACGATAATGATGTTGAAATTTATAATTGTCAGTGGTGTAAATATTTAATAGATCCCAATAAAAATTATAATTCTAACTTTTACTTAAGCAAAAGGAACAAGAATTCAAAGAATGCAGTAAGAAAGAGTTTGAATTTTTTTTTGTGTCTCCTCAGCCTAGATATATTTGGTTCCTGTATGGGCCATTCATGACATTAAAGGTCGTTTAAGGCTACATAGGCCGCTATAATATTTTGACCCTGGCACGTTTTGCCGATTTAATTATTGGGAAAGTCCCTCTTCTATCCCATCTTGAGGTGAATATTGTTAGTTCACTCGTTCGTGCTAAGTGGTGATTCGATTTCGGGAAAATCAGAAAACTTTAGGACTTCTCCAAGATTTTTCTACAACAAACCATCTGGTTTCTCCGTAAGGCCACACAAAAACTTCCGGCCTTTTTCTTCTACTTTCCCCTCTGCTTATTCTGCAAGGACTTTGCCGTTTTTCTCTGCTACACAGCGGCAAATTGAACCAACATCATTTGAACGAAAGGGTTCCTTTCTTTGAAAGAAATTCCTTATTGGACGCTCCAATATCTAATATTCAATGGCCAACTTCATGTTTTCCCAATCAGTTAAATCGGTCAAGTTCTGCTAGACAGTCTAATTATTTTCAGTCAACGGCTGTTGTTCAACAACACAACCGGACGTTCCTTATTTTCCACCTCCCGTATTATTTTACCGGATTCTGCTTCTCTGAATAACGTTCCGAACAACCCGAATTCAAATAATAATCCGACCGTGACAGAATAGAAGTAACCAAACCAATCGTATACCTGCTCAAGTACACTTTTTCAATCCAGAGTGTATGAATTCTACTACCGCAGGGGCGCATTTGTCTCATACTATCCCGCGGTGGCGGATCTCATTGATCAGTTGCGTTCTCTGAATTTTTCGCCTCTGCATAATCGTTCAGCAGCGTCTGGCTATGAGTACAGCCCCCTGGATATAAAGATGTAAGTCGGTGGAATATTAAATACAATGGTCATGGGAGCTTATCAAATTTCTTGAAGAGAATCGAGGAGTTGCGATTATCTAGAGGAGTTTCAAAGGATCATCACTTACGCTCTGCTTCCGAATTATTTGTCAAGGATGCTCTTTTATGGTACCGTACTGGTATATTTCAACCTTGGGACGACTTAGTTGCTCAGCTTCGGGATACGTTCTTACCCTATGATTATGAGTTTTCGTTATGGGACGAAATTCGAAGGCGTACCCAAGGTGCTCATGAGCGCGTCATAGGTTTCGCAGTCGCCATATGGAGAATCTTTTTCGTGAGTTGCCCCAGGAACCATCTGAAGATGTTAAGTTACAGCTAATTCTTTGTAGAAATCTTCTGCCTTATTTGCAAACACGGTTGGCCACCCAAAATATTTTTTCTGTCAGGGTCGCGTTGTACAGCGTTTCGTGCCGCCTTCCAACGAATTATCGTTATCTGTTGGAGCCGGAGTTAGCTTATCACAAGCCTTTCCCATGCACCTACAGCCCCAATCGAAACCGAAGTAATGTCCGATGGAAAACCTCAGCAAAGAACAATATTTTTCCCTATTGATTGTAAAAATCAGGTTGATGTGATATCAGAGACTGAATCTGAATCATTTTGTTGGAATTGTAGGGAAAATGGTCATAGATTCAGGCAGTGTAACGAGCCCAAGCAGAAATTTTGTTACCGCTGTGGTAAACCCGACGTTATAACTCCTTCTTGTACAAATTGTTCAAAAAACCGAAGCACGGCAAGGTCTTAGGCCGAAGTTCTTGCCCAACAACATCGAATCCAGAGGCCAATTTTCCTTCAAAGATCATATTAGATTACGTCCTCGCTCATTCTAAAAATGATGAACGTCCATATCTACAAGTTGAAATATATGAAAAATCCCTCTTTGGTCTTCTTGACAGCAGAGCTTCACAAACTATTCTTGGAGACGCGGGTTGGAGAATGTTGAAATCCTACAAGTTCCTTTTGTACTGTGGCAAACGGACAAAATTGCCAAGTTGTTGGTTCAGTTTTAGTGCCAATTCGTCTTCGAGATCGTACTGTCCTCAGTCCTTATTGACGTTTTGATTGTTCCATCTCTTCCGCATAGTCTAACTCTTGGAGTTGATTTTTGGAAAAAAATCGGAATTATCCCGATCTTCACGCTGGTGAATGGAGCTTTCGTTTAAATGATACCATTCCTACCGAAATTACCGCTATCCAAAGGAGAATCGATTTGTTTTTTGAGCAAGAATGTATCTTGAAAACTTTGGTTGATGAGACTTTTGCGAAAATGGTTGATAAACTTGGATGCACCAATATCTAGTCGAGTTGGTTATTAAAACTGACTCACCCCCAATAAAGCAGCGCTGTTATACGCTGTCTCGAGTTTTACAAAATGAGGTAAATACCGAATTGGATAAAATGATTGCTGATGGGATCGTAGAGCCTTCTGAATCTCCATGGACTTCCCCAATCGTTGTGATTAAGAAAAAAACTGGCGGATATGGAGGTTCTGTTATTGTGTTGTCTGAACACAATATTTCAAATGAGAAAATACTTCTCTGGAAGAATTAGGAGCAATTCAGTTAATAACTTTTTAATAATAATAATAAACAAAAACGAAATTATTTATCTCCACAACCTTGCCTAACAACTAACCAAAGCTAACTACACACAAAAAAATAAACAATAATAAAAACACAAAGGTAAAAACACAAAGGTAAAAACATAAAGGTAAAAATACAATAGTAAAAACACAAAGGTCACTACATAACCTTCCTCCAGAAGTATTCTACTTCGAAATTTTAAATCTCACTTTTTTTATTTTTTTATTTATTTCTTGTTTCACTGGTGCAGATTTTTTCACCTTCAATACTGATTCCAAAGAATTATCCAACAAACATGTATCCATAAACGCTGGTTTAATACGATCAATTGATACATTATAGGGTTTTCCGTTTAAATCTATTTTAAAAAATTTATTTGATTTCTCCAAAACTTTAAATGGACCATTATAGGAAAACGATAAAGGTTTCTTATGAGAATCGATCTTAACGAAAACATGCGATGAATCAAACAAATTTTTGTTAATGAAAAACTTTCTTTGTTTAAAATTTGAGGTTGCTGGTTTTAAGTTTTGCATAAATTCTTTAAGTTTTATAACAAAGTCAGAAGAAGTTTGGCTTTCAGAAGTAGAATTCTCAAAAAATTCTCCAGGAATACGTAAAGTAGTCCCATAAACCATTTCCGCAGCACTACATTGGATAGAATCCTTAAAGCAAGTTCTCAGCCCAAGCATGACTATGGGAAGCGAATCAACCCAAGTTTAACAAATTGTGCTCAGAATGATTTTGTCAAGATTAAAGAAGCATTAGCTACTGCAACATTTTTAAATCACCCTAGGGAAAATGTACCTCTGAACATTATGGTGGATTCTTCTGATTTTGCAGTAGGTGCAGTTTTTCAACAATATCATAATAATTTTTGGCAGCCTGTGTGTTTCTTTTCAAAAAACTTACACCTACTGAACAGAGATATAGTACATTTGGAAGAATTAGGAGCAATTCAGTTAATAACTTTTTAATAATAATAATAAACAAAAACGAAATTATTTATCTCCACAACCTTGCCTAACAACTAACCAAAGCTAACTACACACAAAAAAATAAACAATAATAAAAACACAAAGGTAAAAACACAAAGGTAAAAACATAAAGGTAAAAATACAATAGTAAAAACACAAAGGTCACTACACTGTGTTGATTTCAGAGCCTTGAATCAAGTCACCATCTCGGACTCATATCCTCTTCCATGGGTTTCGATTACGTTTGATAAATTGAGAGACGCTCACTTTCTCAGTAGGTACTTTTAGACATCAAATCCAGCATAATGGCAGATTCCTATTTCAGAAAGTTCCAAACCCCTTACTGCATTCACTGTTCCATCCCGAGGTCTATTTCAATTTAGACAAATACCCTTTGGTCTTACCAACGCTCCTGCTGTCTGGCAACGCCTTATAGATCGAGTTATTGTTGTTGAGTTTGAGAAGTACGTATTCGTCATTCGTCTATCTAGATGATGTAATTATTTGCACCTCCTCCTTTGAGAAGCATATTAAAATATTACGTGAAGTAATCGATCGCCTCACTCGGGCTGGTTTAACCCCTAATCGAGGAAAAATGCGTCTTCTGCAAAAGTGAATTAAGGTATCTCGGGTATGTGGTCAACTCCTCCGGTATGTTGGTTGATCCGGACAAGATCAGGGCCATATTGGACATTCCTCCTCCCAGGAACGTCAGTGAGGTAAGCCGAATAGTGAGTCTGGCGTCATATGGTATCGAAGATTTGTGCCTAATTTTTCCACTATACTTTCTTCACAAACTTCTTTGACACGCAAAAATATGAAATTTGTATGGGATGAAAGTTATAACCAGGCTTTCGAAACCATAAAGGAATATCTTGTAAATTTCCCAGTGCTGTCGATCCTGTCCCGATTTCGATAAACCTTTTTGCATACAATGTGATGCCTCTGATTTTGGTCTTGGTGCGGTTTTAACGCAGATTCAAGACAAAGAAGAACATGTCATATGTTATCTCAGTCGATCTCTCAATAAAAATGAGAGCAAATATACCACGACCGAAAAGGAATGCTTGGCTGTATTATTTGCTATCGAGAAATTGCGTCCATACATCGAAGGTACCAAATTTACAGTTATCACTGACCATTACAGTTTGAAGTGGCTTAAATTCATCAAGGATCCAGTAGGACGAAGTGCTCGATGGGCTGTCAGCCTCCAACAGTACGATTTTAACGTTGTTCATTGTAAGGGAAAAGAGAACGTTGTCTCCGATACTTTGACCCGATCAGTTCCTGTTATTGAGGCAGTTATACTACCCTGACTGTTGTACCTACCTATTGAATCCGAATTACCTTTCGCAACGTCAGATAAATGGTATAACACTATGCTTGAGAATGTAACCAAATCCCCTTCTAAATATCCGCTTTGGTATACTAATTAATGACGGAAAGCTGTTTAAAAAAGCTAAACTTAGGTATTCCGCTTTGTCATCCGCGAGTGGCTCCCTGGTTGGAAGTTGTTCCGAAGGATCAACGCTCTACTATTATTAAAATGCATCACCATCCACCAACGTGCGGACATCTGGGTGTCTTTAAAATCGTTTCTAGGATTCCCCAAAAGTACTACTGGCCACAAATGAAAAATCACGTCCAGAAGTACATCAAACGTTGTGAGGTATGCTTAAAAACCAAAAACCAAACCTGAACAAAAAGTCCCCGTAGGTCAAATGCGTAGTTTACAGCCTTCAGCTTCCAGACCTTGGCAGATTATTAGCGTGAATATCGTTGGTCCCCTTCCTCGCTCCAGTTCTGGTTATTCGTATATATTTACCGCATCGGACGTTTTTATCAAATTTTGCTTGTTTTTTCCTCTTCGTTCTGCTACATCTAAGTAGTAGTATTTTGAAATGGTTGTCCTTTAAATCTATGGTGTGCCGAAAAAGATTATTTTGGACAATGGACCCTAATTCCGGAGTATGGTTTTCCAAGATGTCATGAAGGGTTATTACATTGAGACCCGCTATACAGCCAATTATCATCCACAGGCCAACACGGTGGAACGAATTCATCGAGTTCTCAAAACAATTGTTTCCAGTTATGTAGGCAAAGATCATCGTCATTGGAATAAGTTTTTGGCAAAGGCTGGTTGCGCCATTCGATCCGCCCGGCATCAAGTCACCAACTTGACTCCAAACTTTGTTGTTTTTGGGTGTGAGGTAAGTTTGCCTCATGATGAGACTGCGTTCTCGGTTGATGATCCTAATACTTTTGACCCACTTAAGCGATCTCGGGAGTTGTGTAAAGTCTTTGCGGATATACAAAAAAAATTAGTTTATTTATTTATTTATTTATTTATTAATACAGTATCAACAGCACATGCCAATTACAGATACCGATCTTAAAACTAGTAAACAATAATTATTTGAAATTTAAAATTTACATTGTTACAATCATGAACACTTCACATTAAATATATGAGGCTTCCTCGGAGCTCTAACAAGCAAAAACCCTTTCAAAAAACACGATTATACTATATAATTTAACAATAAAAATAAAAGTTCATGCTTATGAGAAATCCAGTCACACCTATAATCTCCGAGAACGTGATGAACGATTTCATCTTCATCAAAAAGTATGGAAGAAAAATTATCACTTATCGGGCGCTGCAAAGAACTTTACAGCGAAGCTAGCCCCAAAATTGTCCTATGTACATACAGTTTTTTATATTTTCGTGTGGTTCTCCATTCGTTCGTAGGTCGATCGAGTGTACGCCACTGGTATTTTCCTGTTTCTGACTATTCCCTCAACCTTTCTATGTTAGTTTGAATACAATCCTATGTACAGTTTTTGAATAATCATACAGTTTTGCATATTTTCCTGTGGTTCTCCATTTATTTGTAGGTCGATCGAGTGTACGCCACTGGTATTTTCCTGTTTCTGAGAATTCCCTCAACCATGGGACCACGGGCTACAACCAAATTTAATACACTGACCCACGGATTAAAACAAATAACTGAAACTCAGCAAGAAGACCCAACCAGACTTATTAACCTAATTGTGGTGGTGTTCCTTTACCCTTACCCTTCCCGTTCTGTTTCAGGGTGAATAATCGAGCTACATAGCGGAGCGAGATAGGATTCGTGACAATAGGATACAAGCAACAATATGGATTTCCATAAAATGGATCAGTGGAACCTGGCAGAAATCTAGAATTATCTGATAAAAGATAATGAAATTCTTCCAGAGTTGAAGAATGTTACAAAAATGCTTTTTTTTAAACATTTTTTATTTAGCTATTATGAGAAATAATAATAATAATATACAATAATAATAATAATAATATTAATTTAAAACCTTGTGTAAATCGTTATAACGTTTTTTCTTTTTTTGTTCTGAATATACAGAATGACAGTTCCATTTTGCCTCTAACAGTAAATATATATTAACATTATTTACAAATTACTTTATAAAGCCGTTTTTATTTTTTATAAAATGTAGAATTCAAAATAAGCAATAAATAATATACAAAAACACCTTGTAGATAAAAAAATATATACAATATCATTTTTCAGGGAACTGGTTAGTTGATTCCTCAAAATATTTGACTGAGGTATTTTTAAATTTAAACTTTGTTTTGAAAAATTTTTGTGCCAACCAGTAATCTTCGTTAACATAATATTCGAAAGTGAAAGAATATAATTATGTGATTACTTTCCAAGATTTATTTTAAGGAGAGAATTTAAGTATGTCTTATGTAAAATGAGCGATTTTAAAAATTATTTCATAATAATTGATACATATACAATTAATAATCGGCCTCTCGCAATAAAAACCGAAATTTAATTTCGGACATTTCTTGAACAGAACACCAAAAATTAACATTGAACTATGGCTATAAAAGAGTAAAAATAAAATTAAGACTTATTCCATATTCTACATTCAATCAACTAGAGTGCTAACTTTATTTATTTTATTACGCATTCGCTCTGGCCGTTCACGCCCTCTAGTTTATTCTCAGTGTCTTTTCCTAAATAGTTCAGCCATCATTTTGCGTAACATCACAGCTGGACTGCAGATACAATCTAGAAAAGAAATACTCTTTCAACAAATTGCTAAATTGATAAATATAGCGATCATAAGTCGCAAATCTGCCAAAGAATTGTACCAACATGTTCAAATATGTAAGGATTAAAAATAATCAGATTATTTAGTACTGATTCTCCTTAAGAATCGAAATAATTTTTTTTGTTTATCACTAGAAATTAATGATTACCTGGCAATATCACTCAACAGATACATCATTTCCAATGTCGTTCTGTCCGTCCCCTTCCTCACGTTTCATATTTTGAATTTGATTCTCAGGACTTCTATCAGTGGGTGACATATTGGCTAAAATAATCAATAAGAGTAAAATTAGGCACATCAATAATTCTACAAGCAGTCGTAGTAATTTTAATTTGAATAAAAAAAGTTAATCAAATGAAATTTTTTGCTTGAATGTAATGTTGGATGCTTACCATGATCAAATGGATCAGTTACAGTGTTGTTCAACTGGTCGGTAGACTGCGATCTGAAAAAAGGACATTATTTATTATAATTTTCCACCAAAAGGTGTTTTTCCTACATCAAGAGCCACACTCATTTATTACCCATAGGCTCTTAACAGAGGTACAGGATTATTTTCCGCCACTTATTCAATTAAAAATGTTTGCTTACTTTATACAAGCTATATATTTTCAAAAAGGAAAAGTTTATTTTTTCTAGAAAATTTTGTTGCACTAATTTGTAAACATAAATCCCATAAACATGCCAGGAGTCTACATTAAAGCTTGACTTTTCCTACAAACTAAAAGCCTTTACCTTAAAAAATCTTCTTTAACCGGTGCATTTTCACTTTTCTCCTCGTTGTCATCATCAGCTTCAGTTTCATTTTGGCTACCATTGTTCTGATGCCCATATACAGCTGCAGTATTTTCTAAATTCTGAGTACCTGCCATTATAGCTGGAGATTGGATGTTTGGCTTCCTTACTTTATCACCTATAAATGAACTTGATTATTCAACTACTTTGTTGGAGAAAAAAAATCACCTCTTCTCCATAAAGTAATTTCCTGTTGCTTGAAATATCTCCTGTCTTCTGTGTCCATTAAAACCAAATTTAGGAAATACCTCACAGAGAATTTCTTGTTTATGTCTCTCATGGTGGGAGTTAAATCGTAACCGGCCAAAAATACTCTGATTGGAATACTTTCGCCTGAAATTACCAATCAACTATCACAAAGGCGAAAACATTTTGAAATTGCAAATTACCTCTTACTGGAGCTCCATCCATAATTTCATATTTTGCAATGGTAATGTTATCTGTGAAGGTATTAGGCCCTGAACCTGTCGTTTCTCTTTTGATTATAGCAATTTCCATATGTTTAATTTTTATCCTTACTAACAGAAAGTATATTTTACCCACTATTACATCCTTTAAATGATACCTAAAACATTTGTTTGTAAAAAATGATTTATAAAACAAAAATTAGATACTAACTTAGATTTATTATATTCGAATTCAATATGTAAACAGTCTTCAATTCCAACTTCCATTTTTATTGAATTGTTCATTTCTGGATAACTGCATAAAGTATGCACTGCAATATCCAATTCCTTTACAATATCGGCCAGTCGACGAATTATTGTTACTCGTAGAAAATATCTTAGCCGTACGTTACCTCCTTCAAAAAATAACTTAAGTAAACCATAATTTTTTTATTCAATAGAAGGTCATTACCAGTGTAAACTTCAAAAGGTTTTTCCACGTTACTGAACTCAAACGGGTAGCTGGTATGTGCAATCATTTCCCCAGGGCGTGCCAATTCCTTTACTAGAGAAATAAATTCGTGATGGTTACCCCTGTCGTAAAACATTTCAATCTGGCCGATGAATTCGATTTTGATACCCTGATGTTCCAACTTGCTGCCTGGTTTTTTGAGACTGACATTTACCTAGGAAAAGAAATTTATTATTGCAGTTATGGTTATGAGTTTGAAATGTTAAGTACCTTTCCAATTACGGTTTCGCCATCATAATATAGGAGAAGCCTTTCTTTTTTGCCATCTTCAGTTTTTACTTCTGCTGTTTTACGAGTTTCCTGGCCATCCAGATAAACATCTATTTCGGCAGACTGCCCAAATCCAAAAAAACTCTAGAAAATAAATTTCGAACATTGAAATAGACACTAAATTGGTGCTAGTATTACTGTTTTTTTTTTAGTGTGTAAATTTCTCATATTTTGTTAGACAAGAAACTATAATTTCTCAAGAAGTCTGCTTTGATTTTATGGGATATAAGTGGGTATTTTCATTTCTTAAATTAATATTTGAAATCTGCTTGTGTAAAAATTAAAATTATTTCTAGCGTAAGCTTAGATCTTAGATGGTAATCCAAGTTATTTATTCTGATAAAACCTTGAAGAAAGTTTTGGAGATGGAACATTAAGCAACTTTGAGCCTAATTTTGTAGCTTTCTGATACCCTTATTATTTAGTAATTCCCGAGGTAATTTCTCTAAGGTTTACACAACTCTGGAAAAGTTTTATAACTACCTTTATGATACCTAATTTATATTTGAAACTTTCAATAATTATTGCTAGAGCAAGAGTTATTTTCTTTAAACATAACTACGGGAATTAGGTAAGTTGTTTATTTTACATAAGCCTATTTTTAGTAACTGAATAACGAGTAAAAAATTGAATGTAATTTCTCTCAGAGTAGGTACAAATGTATTTGTTCAAAGGATTAAATTGACCTTAAATTAGAGAAGGTAAAAAACCAGTATTGATTATTTTCAATAACCTATAGTCCAGAGACAATAGGAAATATGAATAAATAAAACTCAAATTATTTATTCTTGTTCTTGGATTAATAAATTTTTTTTTATTTTTGTATTTCCGCCATTTCCAAAAATAATCTTTAATTTTTCTAGTTTTATTGTCTGATATAATATTTAAGTAATCCTAATAACACAGTAACATCGCAGAAACATTCCAGAAACATCCATCAGGGATAATGAAGACGTCCCTGGGAGGTCCCTATTTTCCTGGGGACATCCCTGGGATGTTGCAGGCAACAGCCGTGTCATCATTTGCGATGTCCTATAAACATCTCTCAGGGATGTTTCTAAGATGACGCGGGATGTACCTAATACATCCGGGGCAGGTGTAAGAAACATCCTCTATATGTTTCTAGTATGACTTTAATAGGTGAATGAATTTTAGGATTATGGATTAAAAATTACCTAATTCAATAATTTTCAATTTTCGTTCTATTTTCTGGAAGTCAGATAGAACTTTTTCCAAAAAAAAAAACAATAATTGAAAATTATAAAATTAAGTAGGCACATCAGTTTCCAATAACATTTTTTATTGAAAAAATAAGGTACATGCATACCTACTTATATTGATTATCTATCAACTAATAATAACCGACGGACAATTTTGCCTAAATAATGTAGTATTTATGCCCCGTCATGTCATCGAAAACCATAGTTTGGCAGTGGCAGCATGTTGTAGTGGGGGAGTTCGGCGTTTTCTTTTTTTTTTTTTGGTGCTCCAATTTCATAAAGGTACCATTAACTAACCAAAACAACCACAGAACCAAAATCCAAAGTTCTTGAAGTACAATTCAACTTGCACACCTAGAATGTAATCAACTATGAAAACAAAAAATAATTATTGGTTATTTTCTCTTACCTAATGAAGAATGAAGTTCGGGTTTTTAGGGGCTATTTATCAGAAAAGTTAGAAATTTCCTAACCGACGCCATATTGAAATTAAATAAACTAAACAATTGATAGTTATGCGACGTTATCTTTCAACAAATAATCTTTCTCACCAACTAATAAGCACTGGTAGGTCGCAGAGATCCTTTCGAACACAAAATGGCACAACTAGGTGTAGCGAAAAACCACAAATTGACAAATCCTCCACACAGCACGACGCCATTACGAAATAAAATTCCGCCCAACAACACAAGCGAAGCGCACAGAACGACCCGTTCGACTGATTCTGCCCGTCTGCGCTGGCTGCGGCGCCGACCCGACGTGGTGGCATGCCCTCCTGTCCTGACCGGTACAAGTACAAATGCCTGAGCACGCGCCTGCGCCATACACTTCGGCTTCACGAATATTCACGATGTTTGAAAGTTGAAAAGAGAGAAGACTTTTATCAATACATATTTTATTTTATTCCAAGTTGTAAGTCGAATGAAAAATTAAATTTTGCTGTTGTTACAATACAAAATTAATATTAAGTTCCTTATCTATATACATTACAGGTATATTATGGAATTTGAAATTAGTTTGTGTGTGTGCTAGAGACATTTTCAGAAATCACACAAAATTGGCAAATTTAATACTGGGTCCTACCGGTCTGAGGTCCTACCTAGTTTTGTAAAATAATGTTAGCCATTTTTTAGCTGTAATAAGTATCTAATTTTGAGAACAAAAAATCTTTTTGTCGTTAGATATTTTCGAAAGGATGTTTCTAAAACATTTCAGGACAATCATCCTAGAGATGTTACATTACAAACATCGCAGCGATGTACCATTTATGTCGGAAACATAAGGACCTTAATGGTACATAAATAGGATGTTTCTGGGAGATCGGTGTTATTAGGGATTTTTTTTCTGTTTGTAAAATATTGATGTAACTGTAATTAGATTGATGTGCAGGTTTTTTTTACAAATCTTATGTCATGTTGTATTACATGATTTCAATTGTTTCTCTTCATTTATCATATTATTAAGTAGATATTTTCAATTGAGACATAAATTATCAAGGGGTACAAAGAAATGCATAAAAATACAAAAGAATACATAGGAATACAAAGGAATACCCTACATCTCAGCAACACCATAACCCAATTCAAGACCAAAACAAAACAAAAAAATTATAAATACAAAACCGAAAAAAATAATCATGCAACATAACAGATTTCTGCCAAAAACACTATACCGGGTGACCACGAGATTACTGACCAAGCTCTAGTTCAGGCATGAATATCAATATCGATTTCAAGTTTTGAGGATGTATATTATTGATATCGATGCAGAATTTCGCTATAAAAACAATCGACTATCGCTTCTGGTTTGACCGCAAGTGCCATCAACTTCTTTATTTCAACTAGATCACCCCCTATATTATTACATTTTTGGATTCTATGAGAAATTCTAAGCATATTTTATGTATAATATCCTATACCTAACTTTAAGAGTTTTCAAGAAAATCGCGATTGAAAATGTCCAAAAATAATTTTTATTTTAGTTTTGACAGCAAACTTGGAAAAAAAGGGTTATCGTAGATTAATTCATATGACACATTAGATTTTTTATCCCATTTTGACCTTTAAAAATGACATTATTGAACGCATAATGACAAAGGTAAGTAGACGTTTATCACCTGAGTGACTTAAAATATTTTTAACTCACTCTCGGTCTTTTAAGTCACTCTGCCAGTATAAAAATCTGCTACAAATACAAACAAACAACTAGTTATACCTTAGCAACCACCAATTTCAATAATTAGCGCTTTCATAACTACTAAATGAATTCTTTTTATAATTTGATTCCTATTAAGTACCTTATTTTTTTAATGTCCATCAAAATGGGATAAAATTTTGTATAAATCACGTGAGTTAAAATGTTTATTCATTCGAAGAAAATTAACCCACTCACTAGGGCTCGTGGGTTAAACTTTCTTCTCATGAATAAACATTCATTTAACTCACTTGGTGTATAAATAACTATTATCCCATTACGACGTTTAAAAATGATATTATTGAACGTATAACAATAAAGGTAAGTAGACGTTTATCACCTCAGTGATTTACAACATTTTAACTCACTCTCGGCATTTTCCAACTAAAAATCTGAAACCTCAGTGATTTAAAATATTTTTAACTCACTCCAGGCATTTTTCCTTGAACTTTATTTTTTAAATTTCCACAAAATGGGATAAAATTTTGTATGCATCATGTGAGTTAAAATGTTTATTCATTCGAAGAAAATTACCCCACTCGCTAGGGCTCGTGGGTTAAACTTTCTTCTCATGGATAAACATTCATTTAACTCACTTGGTGTATAAATAACTATTTGACAAATTAAAATGAATGACTTCGGGTTTAAGAACCAATGAACGTTTTTGACGTCATTGATTTGTTTCAGTCAATTTCCATTTGTTAAAAAAGGAAGGCAAAAAGTATGAGCCCTCGTGAACCAATGACTATGTTCTTTTTCTTTCTGAACCATAACATGTTATACCTTCCCTTAGTTCCCTTTCTAGTAATGGTAGCGAGGGTCATCGTTTGTGATTTGACAACGGTTATAAGACAGATTTATTAAAAAATTCCATTGGGGTAGGACACATTATCAAAAATTTGTTCTTACGATAGATACATGTAGATGATATCAAAAATGCAATGTTTTTCTTATGCACCCCACGGCCGATTTTCAAAAATTAAAATCTGGCAACCCTAAATTTAGCACGGGATCTAGAATTTGTGCTCCAGCCACGTTTTTCACAAATTTCTTTTTTAAAAAATTGCAAGGATCAATTTCGACGGTGAGCCCGTGTGACGCCATATCAAATCAAATCAAATCAAATCAAATCAAATCAAATCAAATCAAATCAAATCAAATCAAATCAAATCAAATCAAATCAAATCAAATCAAATCAAATCAAATCAAATCAAATCAAATCAAATCAAATCAAATCAAATCATTTATTGGTGCATTACTTCACAAAGTTTACACAAGTCAAATATATAGTAGTGGCAATTTTCAGGAACCTTTACGAACAATATTACTAACTAACAATCCTCTAAATCATTAAAATTATTGGTGGTATATTCCTCTATACTAAAAAAAGCTTTCTTAATTAAATAATTTTTAATTTTATTTTTGAAACAATTCAAATTTAGCATTCTAATGGAGGTTGGTAACACATTATAGAATTTGGGGCCATAGAAGGAAATTCCTGTTTTTATTTTATGTATTCTATGAAAGTTTGTATAGAGGTTGTCCCTATTCCTGGTGAGATGTTGGTGTATGTCCTCATGGGTCTGGTAATCATTGACATTACACCTAACATGAATCAGACAATGATAGACATATAAGGAAGGCACTGTTAATACCTTTGATTTCACAAAG